AATAGTTCATTTTAGCTTTGATTTCTTGAAAAATGAAGAATCATGTAATTGATATTATAACGGATGAAAATTTGTACGATCTGTATTCATTGCTATCGGTTGCATGAACTAAATGTGACTAAGTGACGATTACTCACAAATTCGAATTGTTGATGCAAGGTCCACAATGATGAGATCCCAAAATAATCTGTCAGTATGTATCTGTCGTATGTAACACACCAAACATATCACCCGATGTAAATGTGATTAAAATATGAAAAACTGATTGATTACGTGGTTCATTTTTTAAAGATCGTTTAATGACCTATGATATTAAGACCTGATTATCTTGCCTAATTATGACTGCCCATCATGTCACAACTTAAATATCTGTAACAAAAAATCTCTGTAAAATAACATTCTTCCAATTGTTTTTCTCGTTGTAGAATAAACCTAATTTTCAAAATCAAACTCACCGTACGCATTTCGAATCGTTAGATTCCGATGCCAACTCAGAAACTAACTCTGTGGATAGCTGTGTTAGAAAGAATAATAAGATACCTATGATTTCAAAAGTTAAACAACCTAGTGTTTCGAATTATGCCGATCAAACGAAAAAGCAATCAACTTCTCAATCTTATATTCAAAAAAGTACTAAAACAAAAAAATCCAACTTTCAAGATTTGGGAGTTATTAGTCATGCTAAATCTCTTGCCCATCAATGTCGTTCGACTAATTCAAAGCAGTCTACAGGTCCAACTCGCACTCTTGCTCCACTACCGTCTGCTATGATGAATAGTACAAATACATCTCGTCCGGCGAAGCATCCCATTACGAATAGAAAAACTAAGCACAATTATAAACTTTCGGAATTCGCCAGTAAATATGAAATGAAACATGTATCACATCACTTTGCTTCAGGTGGTAATCATCACACTTCACGAGTGAAGAACTCAAAATCTAAGTCATTACCTTCCAAAACCAGTCATTCAAATGAAAGTCGAACTCACAAGCCACATTCGGAAGAACAACGAACAAGCAAAAAACATTCGTCTGAATGCCAGAGTTTCAAAATGCGTCAAATTAATTCAGTAGCCAAGGGAAATTCCATTAGAAATGGCCAAAAGGTATACAATCTTTTATTCACGTTATTTTGTACAAATGCATTTCTCATTTCATTTTATTCAACCATATGTTTTTTTCCGTTATTTCAATAACTGAACCACAAATTCATGTTAGATCAAGAGTATACAGAAATGTGATTAATATCAGTATTACTGAGAGTTGTAGTATATTCGAATCTACATCAGTAGTTTGAATCACTTTCTATTACATAGTTAGACCATTTAATTAGTTTTACTAGTCATCGTAACATAGACGTCAGTCGAATTCCTTTAGTTGAACTACATGGTCCTTTTTTTTTACTATTCCTTCGACGTCACAGAAATAGTGGTATTTTTCCTCTTGTCACTTTTAACGCTTATATTAATTGTATTACAGTGCGTATCGTATTTTTTGGCGTATTTTATTCTTATTTTCAGCTGGAAATCCTATCCAATTGTGATAAAAGTGAAGAACAACTATCCGATTGTAGTGAATCCTCTTTGTCATCCACTTCTACATCATTGTCTTCGTCGTCAACATCATCATCAGAAGATAGTATGTCCTCGTTTTCATCCTCGACACTTCAGTCTAGATTAAAGCAAAAGAAGAAAACAAAAATCACTTGATGGTTTCCTTGTTTGTTTTCTATGGAACATTAAAGAAACAATTCGGAAATCCAAATCTCTCAACAGTTAAAGTAACATTTTAGAGCTGTTTTATTATTGTTGTTCTTTGCCAACTAAACCTTACGTTTTTATTGCAATTTTTTGTTTGTTTCTCTGCCTTATTACTCTCTAGTAAATAGTATTTTTACACAGAGGAAAGTTTAACAAACGCACCCTACATCCAAAAGCATTCCTTTCAAAGTGTTCAAGCGCCTTCGCTTTACTATTACCTATGAACAAATCGGATTATCTCCACAATGTTGATATTGATTTAAATAGGTGTAGTTACGCAAAAATATCTACTTTTTGTGTATCCAGTTTTTTATACTATTGTTGTATAGTGCTGTCAATATTCAGCTTTATTTATCAACATATATTTTGTTTTTCTCTCCTTAAACGTTTTTAAAGATTTTGTATTGTGTGTAATATATTGAGTTATGCTTGTATGCGTACTTGCTGTCTTTTCTTCAGCCATGCTATAATCTTGGAAATAAGAATCCATACTTATAATCTTTGTATGAACGTGAATCTATCGACCTACTATATCGTCCAAATAAGTTGATTCTGAGCCCATGTATGTCTTTTCTACAGATCCGGACACTTTTTAAACATACCTATCCCTTTCAAAATTTTCATTTTTAAAATACAATACTTCGATGATTTCTCTTGCATTCGTTCTAATATATTCGTTAATATTCCATTTACAAACTAATTTGTCAATTCCCCAACAGTTATTGTCCCAATATTATTTTTACATTTTTTGTTTCTTTGGTTGGTTGATCATACTAATAACAATGAAGATGATAACGACTTTGTGATTTTTTGTTTCACTTCTTTCATTTCATTGTTTGATTTATTGCTTTCCAGTTGATCATACTTTATTTGCATTGCCCATGTTATCTGTTGTTGTTTGTTTAATGTATTCGAAGGTTTCCAACTATTAGTCACCAGTAGTAGCTGAAAGATATATTTATCTATTTGCTAAAAGATTGTTAACTTCAAATTACCATCGTCAATATTAATTCTTGCTATGATTATCTCAGTTTAATTTGTACAGTTTGAATCTTACTTTCGATTTACACATTTCAATAATCAAAACGTCAGAAAATAAAGCAATGAAGTTCATATAAATTATTAGTTTTATGTAGTAATTAATTCCGATCATTGTTTATTTTTACATATTCCATCTTGCTCTATCAAATGTGTATTCATTTCAAACAGTTTATATCCTAAAACTTCGGTTAACGATAGTTGAGAATCGACCAGTATTGCACACAAAAAATATTTGGTGCGCTAAAAAACGTTTCAGAAAGACGACAGTGTGAAACATTAGAAAACCATATAAACAAGTTTTTTCAAACAAAAGCACTACCCATCATGAAAAGTGCAAACCACCTAAAACTCATCTAGCTAAGAACAACATACTGTTTTTATGAGTAATGTAAAGAACAACGATAGAGTCGCCATTGGGCAATACTCTAGCCGCAGCATTGTACAAATTTGTTTGCAGTACGGCCCATATGAATGTATACTAGAACTTCGGAAGTAAATTGCAAAGTGGGGTTGCCGTGCGGAACGTGGGTATTTGTGAGAAATAGGTTACTTGCATAATTGAAGCAGCCAATTCCTATTACTCAACCTGCAACCGACAAGTCACTATTCGTCATTCAAACTCCTCCCTCACGTTTCTGGTTGACTGGATTTTTAACTCTCCCAGCTGTCGGGTCACTATCTGTGAGGCAAGTTTTGTTGAGAAGTTTCTTCACTCTATAACAGTATTCTTCATTTACTGCTTACAAGCAACAGTCGGGGCGTAGGTAGAGATAAGGAAATGAAGTCGCTCTCCACGCTGTTTACTTTTGTTTAATCTCAACAGAGTATAAAATAAGTGTAAAGGGATAACTTGTCAATGGGTACTTTCTCGGCTTTGGTGCTTAGTGATATACCGATCGCAGGATCTAATGCTAAGTAGAAAAAACCCTTTCTAATTGTCAGGATGAAGTTGTAATAGTTCATTAGATTATTGAATATGTACATATGATATAAAGGAGGACTCGAATAAATTTGCTTATGAGAATTCCCGAGATAGTGCAATTTAAGGTAGGAAGAACTAGATGAACACAAATGAACGTATTACATTTGGAATTCGTAATAAGCGCACAATCAAGTACAAAGTAATAAACAGTACAAATACCACAAAGCACCAAACATCAGTAACGAATTTTCTCGTGTCTTCAACTCAAAGGTCTAATCTAATGGGGTGACGTCGGGAAATAAGGTCTTATAGTAGCACATGACATTCGTCCTTTCAATATCCTATGGTCCGTGTAAATCGCTGGTTTGGACTAGGGTCTTCCAACACATGTAGTTGTTTGCTCCAACCATTCCAGATTGAGCTCCAAATGTCCACTTCCGTAATGATAATAAGCAGCACTTCCTGCGAGCGTATGAGAATAAGTGGACTCCAGTGTCTCATTGTTGCTGAGGTAGGGGACCATCGTGTTGAATATTCAATCCAGCTTCTATGACAAGTAAAACTGTCTACAACACTGCATTTGCTTACTAAGGTGTACTTCTGTTCAGTTTGTCAAAGTGAATGCTAAATACCGTAAGTTGTATTCACATTACAGACATGTTAATTCAGACCAAGTGAAATATGTGGATGATATTAGATCATAACAAATGGTCTCCAGAATTCAACTTCTACCACAGAATAAGTCACTAGACTTCAGCTATGAAAGAATTTATAGACATGAATAAGCATAAACACTGAACACTTGTTTACAGGGTTCCCAAAACCCGACCATTGCAAAGAGTGAACTCTGACTACACTTCATATTTTATTAGTGCTCACACTTAACACAAATGGTAATTTCAGTTAAGTCGAATTTCTAACCTTTTGTTTGTGCGAAAAATGCGTTGACGAAAATAATAATAAAATAAACTTAGTAAGCAGGAGAGCTTGGAGTCAAGAATTCTCATATATAAATCTTACCCTATCTAGCTATGCATCATAAAGAGTAATAAAGACTAGCCACGCTGTAATTGTATCCGAAACTGAAAACACTAATTTAAACTGGACTATTCACACACTTTTCAACGAAGTGCACTGACGACATTTTTTGTCACTATTTATCAGCTAGAAAATATAAACCATCTGGTTTAATGAACAAGACTATACAAACAACATTTAATACTACTAGATCTGACTGCGAAATAAACTATTTCCCCAAAACTACAAAAACAAATTTGTGTTAAAAAATAATTAATACTTTTGTTAAATTAGGAATATAAACATCAGATACAAACGTATATATAAAAGCATATATTATTCATTGGTTACTTTTAAAAGGAATAAATAATACTTCAACGCTCAAAATAAAATGAGTAATTTTGTGCTTATTTATCTATCTCAAAAGAATTGTTACAATATCTTATCACTTTGAGCTGTTACATAAACATTCTAATAACTTATTTCTATCAATCTGAAACGATTGCCAATACGAAACCATTTGTAAAGCAGTATCAACATCATTAACAGTATTATTATTAGAGCTGCTCTCAATCATCCCGTGCACGATTGACACGAAAGAAAATTTTGCCTATCGAATAAAAACGAAGTTAAATAAAATATAACAATCACCAAATTAAGGCATTAGCATTAATGTTACAAATAAATAAAGACAGCAAGGCAGCAAATGAATCCATACATAAACAAAATCATCACATATTCTTTACTCTTTTAAATTAAAATGAACTTGGTTTCGTTACATGAAATTTAAAAGCAAATAATCAAACAACACATGAATGCTTAAACGTCTTCCAGTACTTCCTCCTTAAGTGTGCCTTGACTGGTGCTCTCTGTGTTGTATTATAGAATATTGGATTTCCTTTAGTGGATGTTGAGATCTACTGCTGTAGAGGTTGCTGCAACACTGGTTGTCTTCACCTGCATTTGTTTTTGCGCATGGGATAGAAGAACTAGGTTGTGTGTTGAGTTTCAATCACCTCGCTGCGTCCGAATTTTCCACTGTATCCAGCGCTTTCCTTGAAATATGGAGTTCTCAATAATCCGTGCAACAACCAGTGGAAACAGAAAAGGATATAATAGTTCGTCTTTACTGACACCAGTCTTTACTTAAAATGCATCTGCGAGCTACTCTCCATGCACAACTTTTCAGCTCAGTCCTCCATAAGTTTCATATGATAGTAACTATTTTCCCACGTACTCCACAATGTCGATGGAAAATCCATAAGGTTTTTAATCCACGCTTTTGAGTACTTTCTTATAATCAAGGAATTGGGTGTATAGTGATGAGTTTCATTCAATTGGTTGTTCAACAACGATTCTCTGTGTCGCGATTTGGTCGGTATATGACCTATCCTTACGAAAGCCAGCTTGTTAATCTTGATATTTTAAAGAGAGAAAGAACAAAGGTTGGTGCAGAATAATATGAATTCATTTTATTTCGTTAGTTTCATATCAGCTGCTTACAGCCTAAAATATTTGAAATTCAACGTTATTACAGATATTGACATACTTATACATCAGATGGTGATGAAGGATGAATATATGTAACATGATGTAGCAAAGATTCCTTTAGAGTTAATGAGGTAATTTTTTGTTTCGAATATATAGAGTTTGGGAGGGAAGATTCCAGAACAGTGAAATAGTGATTAGAACTTATGGAATTAAAAACACATTAGATTATTATGTAATGAAGTAACTGAAAATAGATTAATGGTAATAAAGAGAGATATGAATTGAACGATGTAATTATAAAATTCAGAAGGAGTTGGAATGACGTAATAAATAAAAGAGGGTGGGTTAATGTAACCAGGACAAAGAAAGATTTATTACTGTTTCTTTTTGTATACAAAGATCTGGTTTTAAACGTTTGATTGCTATCGCGAATTTCAAAAGGTTTGAATTTGATTGTTTGTTGATCACCTAGAAGGACTTCAGTATATCGACTTTGTGTCCTGTGTCAAGATGTCTTGCATAGCGCTGCTGAATGCTTCTAGTCCGTTCGATCTCAAACCCTTCGGAATATGTTCTTTGAATCATGATATTGACCATCCACTGGATATTTCATTCGGTTCAACAAACCTGTGTTTAAAAAATTTGGTTGGTACTGATAGTAGTTCGATGCTTCCGTAGTTCCAACATCGACTAAGATCTTTCTTGATATCTTAATGAGGTATCTCTCTATTTAATGTGTTGGTATTTATTCTGCCTGTCGGATCTTTCGAAAAAGAATGTGCAACATCTTCATAGTTCCCGCTGTATGTGAGTCTAATGCCTCAGCTAGTATGCTGTTTGGTTGTCCTGCTTTGCCATCCTTAGTCCGTCTGGTGGTCTTGATGGTTGTACCTATTATTCGTGTGCTATCATCTATAGAGAGGTTTGTTGTGTTACTTTGATTTGATACTCTGTGAGTTCACTAACTCATTCAATAGCTCTAAAAAGTTGTCTACCCATCTGTTTCGCTAGCATTAAACCACAGTTATTGGTTTTCCTCTTTCATCTTTGATCGTTCTGGTTTACAGTACATCTCCCTGCTAGTTCCTACGTTGCATCATGCAGTCTGTTGTGACGGGCGGTATCCAAAATCTGATACTGATATAGCGTGTACTACGTGCTAATACCCCAAACTGACAACTTGAACGAGAAAGTGTATTGAGTTACCGAACAAAAAGCACAAATACTCATTCATAAATATACGAGACTGATTTTAAGGAAATTACCACGATTTCTTAACCAGTGAAATGCACTTGTACTTTAGGTCACTTCACGATTGCCGTCTATTGACCTACTAATAGGCTACTCCTGATTGGTTCTTCATATCAGCTTTCCCTCCTGAAAAATAAATCTTGCTCGTTAGATTTAACTGAAAGCCTTGAGGGGATTATTAGATCATTAAATTTGACTGCACATTGTACATACCAGAAATTGAGATTGGGATACCCGATGGATTATTTATGCAATCGTTAGTAGGATGAATGTTTGACCGACACAGTTTGTGCCAAGTTTTGCAAGAAATCAAAGTAACATCGGATGCAGTGTCTAACTGCGAAGTGATAATATGTTCATTGACATTAATTGATAAATACTTGCATAAGCCTTGGCGGTTAGATTTCGACAATGCATGTACACAATTTATCAATTTTCGGCATCGATAGTGGGAAGGGGTTTGCTGCGTTTGTTCGGCGGTTATTGACTGCTGTCTTCATGTTTTTTCCTTTTTTGAATCGTGTCCACGTTATCTACAAATATCCGTTCTTCACGCTGGTGCATCTCAAAAATAAGTGGATGCAACTGTGTAAAGACTGGGAGATGTCATGTTGTTGAGACATAGTTCGTTGGACTATGTTGAGTCATGGCTCTTCTATGTGAAGACCTTTCAGTTCCCAGTGTAGAGTTAGGGTGGTTAAGATAATTTGTTCTGGTTAACGTGCTCTTAGCGAATTTTTTCTTACGTTGTGAGATTGCTAACTCAACACTCATTCGTTCTCGTTTACCAGGTTTTGGAACCAACAATAATCCTAGAGGATATCCAGGTGAATGTCTAGGATTTCTAAATATGTAAACATACTTATAACATTCAAATTGTTTTCTATTGTAATTCCATCCAATTAACATTTATAAAAGTTGATTCTGATTCTGCTGTAGTCATTAGATATTTTTTATTGTAAATTTCCATACTTCATGTTCTTCATTCTCCTTTTCATTACGTTTGCCATTATAATTTCGACTCAGTTGTCATACACAACTTGTCGTAAGTTGATATAAATAACTTCCCAAATCCGTTTTGGGAAACATACTTCTTTGATTGTACGCAAACTCGGTAGATATCGTAAACATATTGACGTTCGTACTGCGTTTCATACATATAGGCAATAACAGTACAATAACTGTCGACAATTTTTTCGAGGATTTTACGCGTTACTCGATCACATGGTTGTTAACTTTGATCCTATGGGTAGGATCTTTGATATTCCTAGAGTAACACACACGATCAACCAACTATTGCAGAACAAAAATAAACTTGTCATGGAATCTGGCACACACCATCATTGACTATTGTTCTTCGGGTTTCTGTGTCAATGTTTCGTTAACTAATGAAATTCCCCGACGACAATTTCAAACAACCCGAAATCTAGAACTTAACACGATACTTTCATCTAACGGAACACTGTTCTGATTATTAAGACATCTTTATGTCATTTTTATAGCATAACTTACTAATTGTTTGACACAAAGAAACTATAAAACACAATAAGTATGTCACTAAGCATCACTATGTATGGTTTGTTCCGTAATTTTGCCACACACTAGCCAAAGAACATCGAAATTCGACGTAACCACTAGCCCTCAAGATAATAAACAATATGTAAATTGTAGAGTAATCATGGCTAAAACATAATGCCTAGCTTCATTATATTATCTGCGTTCAAAACTTACATTCTATGTTACGTTAATAAAATCTCTTTAAAGTAAAATGAAACATTAAACTAAATCAATAACACCTAAAAAATGCTTCCAAAAACCCAAGTAAATTTTAACAGGTCTATCCGATATCTTTATTCACTCTAAATCCAGCAATCGAGGAAATTTCGTGAACAGCTTTGAAGGAAGCAGATGAGGCAAACATGTTAACTGACGAAAGTAACAAGTGCTAAATGAAGTACATCGTACATTTCGTTATTTTCTCAAGTTCGCTAGTGGTACATCCTAAAAGCACCAGAGAGTTCAATTGTATGTGGCTGATTAGTGTCTGACTATTTATGTTGTGGTTAACATACATTGGTATAAAGCTTTCATCAAATAAATTTCAGACACGTGATCATACATCAGACTTGCAAACGCATATAACATCATTTATTCAAAGGTAATTAACTAGATGAACAAGATCTCGGTTTGTCGTTACAATATTCATCGCCAAAAAACACCTAACTTATCGAGATAATTCGTGTAATATCAGAGGACCAACTATACATCATGGTGTTTTGGTTTACTACGTTATAAGTTTATCATTCTTACAGATAACATAGATTACCTGAAGGACAAAGTTATATACGTGAATCGAACATCACTTTGGTCCTACAATTTAGCTTTTGTTTTAAACTGATAAATGTTAGTGGATAATAACTAACAACAGACAAATCTAGAACATTTCGATAACTGATTTCCTAATATCTAACGCCTATCACAGTTCATTTATTTTATGTCATAAAGTACAAGATGTTTACTATAACCGATCATCACGACTAGTCACTGGTGCGACCCTGACCGATAAGCGGTTACATGAAACAAATTTTAAATTACGTTTGCTAGCCTCAATAACGTGCTATAAGATGTCGACTATAATCGAGTGTCGGATATAATTAGCAGCTAATCCCTGTGAAGAAGCATATGATTTAAGAATATTACATGATTGTCAAGAATCGACCAGCTAGGTACATTGTGTTTAAGATTTTTCACCATTACAATTGTAAAAAGTATGATTTACAATAATAAATCGATCAGGACAACTTTATCATACTTATCATCATCAACGTCAGGGAAAATAATAATAATAATCAAACACAGATGTAGACTTACATTGTGTTTCCCACACTTCTTAGATTCGGCATTATAAGCGACATTAGAACTTGTTCGATTTCTAATCAAAAACAACAGAATGTTAATCGTTATGACTGCAAAAAATTATATTGGTGAGATAAAAATCCATATTACTGATGTTTGCTCGTTTTACTCGGTAGAAAAAATAGTTGGATATTTAGGTTCTGTTTTAATATGTTGGAAGTGTCATGATATTTCATCACATTATGGTAGTTAACGCTTGGATTCAGGATACTCACTATACTACAGACAGCTGGTCATCCAGATGTACTTGGATTCAATAGTTTCAAAAAACAAAGTATTCATAACTAGAATAAATAGTGCGCTTTATTTCAAGTAAGCATAAGATAGAGATAGATAACGATTACACAAAACATTTTGCTTTCTGAATGTAGATTATTAAGTTGTACCACTCTTCAACTTATTTGGTATAATGAAATATAAATTTGAGTAAAGGACTTCGCGAAATTTTCCTCGCGTCACTGTACAAAGCCTCACACTAGTTATTGGAACTGTGGAGCATGGCATTTCTCCCGTTTCTGCCCGTTCAATGAACATAAATGCGCAAAATATGGAGTAACTGACCATAAGGAGGGATCCAGATGATCCGATTGTTTATGGTTCTGATAAGGTAGTTCATGACCAGAGACCTATTGCTTTATTGCGTTGTTTAATCAAAAAGAATATTATGGTGGACCCAAATAAATGTTCATTTTGTGTATCTAGTTTTGAATGTCTTAGATACCTAGTTGATGGTAATGGTTTTATACCACATATGAAACGACTAGCTCGACTGACAAATGCACTGTCTCCAAAAAAATCTTACAGAATTACGTTCACCAGTGAGTGCTGTTTAACACTATTCCCGTTTTATTCCTAATTTTTCTTGTTGTGCCAATTGTTTATTTAATATTTTGACATCCAATTCATTCAAATAAGGTGAGGAACAAGACTCATGCTTACAAAGTCTACTAATGTTTCATCACAGTGATGCTGTTCTTCGAACTTACTCCCCTAGTTTACATTCTACACTTATTACTGATGCATTGCCTGTGGGTATTGGTGCAGTCTTGGAGCAGGAAGGTAGACCAATTATCTGTGTTTCACGCAAACTTACTGCTACTGAACAAGGTTATTCACAAACGTAGCGAGAAGCATTAGCTGTGTTTTGGGCTGTTACGAGATTTCGTAAATATTTATTCAGAAAGAAATTCACCATTGTTACTGATCATGAAGCTTTAAAGTTCATTCATTATCCTGAAAAATACTTAGCTGCTACGGTTAAACGATGGAGTATTGCTTTGAGTGCCTATGACTATACGGTCCAGCACAGGAGGTCCAAACAAATTCAACACGTTGACTACATTTCTCGACAATCATTACAAGATAGACCTGTTAATGCTTCAGACTGTTTGTTAGCGCAACCTTTACCGGCGAAACGTCCAGATCTCATTAGAGAAACTCGTAGATACTTTGGATGTATACTCAGTGCTATACGGAAAGGTCGGAATGCTAATCTGAAACGTAGATTTCCTGTCTATTTTTCAAAGTGAAATGAGTTATCCACTACTCCTGGTGGTATTTTGTGTTTGAATGATCGTGCTGCTATTCCTCCTCCATTGTTTAAATGTCCTTGAAGATCTTCATAGTGGACATTTCGGTATTGAGAAAATGAAGTCCTCGGCAAGGCTCACATGTTGGTGGCCAGAGATCAGTGCAGATATATGTTGTACAACAAACAATTGTGGGAAATGCCACAAGTTGAAAAATCAGCATTCGAAGTGGACTCCATGGCCAGTATCGTCTGAGGCCTGGTAGAGAATTCATGCAGACTATTGTGGTTCATTCCTTGGCAAATACTATGCACTCGTAATCACTGATTCTTTTTCGAAGTGGCCTGAGGCTTTTTCACAACTTCACCAAATTCTGACTTCACAATCCAAGCATTAAGAAAGGTGTTTAGTTGAGAACGGGTTCCCATGGTGTTAGTGACTGGTACTGGCTTTCATTTTGTTGCGGATGCAGTCACTGCCTGGTTGAATTGTATGGGGTGTAGACATCTGTTTACTGTTCCCAGACACCTTTTTAATGGTCAAGCGGAACATTTTGTCAGGACATCGAAACTGCTATTGATTCTATTGCTGCTTCAACATTTAATGAACTGGAGAGGGGATTAGATACATTTCTACTGCAATATAGAAATGCTAAACATTTTGTGACGAAAGAGACTTCAGCAGAGCTATTAGAAGGAAGAATTCTTTGTTTGAATATTAGGTGTTTGGAGTCTGCAGAAGTTACATATTATAGTGGAAATGATCTTCGACCAGTCAGGGAAATTGTAATGAACAATGTCAGGAAATCTGTGGCTTGAACAAGAAGACAGCAACTAACAACGGCTTGTTTGCAACCAGACGCTTTGAACTTTGCAGATGACCTGGCCCTTCTAACCCATACACAAAAACAACTGCAGGTGAAAACAATCAGTGAAGCAAAAGCCTCTGCAGCAGTAGGCCTCAACATACACAGAACACCAACCCAATCTCACTTGATGGAGAAGCCCTGGAAGACGTAGAATCTCTCACGTACCTGGACAGAATCGTCGATAAACGAGAGGGATCTGATGCATGCGTGCGGGCACGCATTGGCAAAGCAAGGACAGCATTCCTATAATGAAGAACATATGGAACTCAAAACAACTGTCAACCAATATCAAAGTCAGAATCTCCAATATGGACGTCAAGACAGTTTTACTGTACGGAGCTGAAACGTAGAGAACAACTACAATCATTGCCAAAAATATACAGGTATTCATAAACGGTTGTCTACGCAAGAATATTTAATGTCCGTTGACCTGATACCACAACGACAGCCTACAACAGGTGAGGACAGACCAGCTTCCAGCTGAAGAGGATAAAAGGAAAAGACGCTGGAGGTGGATAGGACATACATTGTAGAAATCACCAAACTGCATCACATGGCAAGCCCTAACTTGGAATCCTGAAGGCAAAGGGGAAAGTGGAAGGTCGAAGAACACACTGCGCAGAGAATCGGAGACAGACATCAAAAGAATGAATAGCAACTAAAGACAACGGAATATGATCGCCTGGGTCAGAGTTCAATGAAGAACCCGGGTGGGCGGCCTATGCTTCTCCACGATGGGTAACAGGCAATTTTCAGGGCGATCACAACACTCAGATTTTGCTAACAATGCGGAAATCTTTTCTAATTCAATTTTTTGCATGACCTGTAGCTTTTAATGATTAGTTGTCATTACTTCTAGTTAGCTAAATTTCTATATGCTTCAAAGGTCATGTTATTGTAAATACGCATTTACGGAGCTGTCTATTTGTTTTGCGATGCTTGTCTCACCTTAAATATCAAGTTTCTCTATCTATGCGTTAGCTGTCGGATGTTGTTTGTAAGGTGCCGTTATCGTCTACAAAACGAACCGACCACATTAGAGTACGTAAATCTTCAAGTATTGTAGGCCAATACTAAACTCCAATAACGAGATACAAAATTTACTACTATTACCATTGTTATTTCATTATTATTATCATTACGTAAAACGAGGTGATGACGTATATCTGATAGATCCATTGGCATTATAAACAGAATGTGAACAGAATTCTGATAGTAATCGGACGACTATCATTTTTCTGTTTGATTAGGAGACAGAAAGGTTCTCAAACTAAAACAACTAACTTAGTGCCAGTTGACCTGTAGTAAATTTTATACGTTGCTTTGTGGTGCATTTCATGTATTTAAGTTGTCAAACGGGGGTCGTAGTATAGTCTGACCAAAATAGTCAAAAACACTAACTTTATACGACCCAGTTAAAATAATTGATGATTTGAGTAACATGATAGTAATAATATGAGCTGTATTACCTCGATTTTTCGCCAGTTTTTCCATCCTCAGATAAAGATTGATTAGGACTTTTTGATGTGTTTGATTTCTTATTCTTTTTTTGCTTCTTGGACGGAGTACTGGTTGCATTCACTTTCATATTTGACAGACTGTTTATTGAATTGCTTTGAAGATGGACAGAATAATTCATAGAATTGCCACAAAGGCGTTCTGATTCAGATAACGCTAAACTAGGTGGTTTTCCCGACAGTCGTTGTTCTATGTACAATTTCAGTTGCCTATCGTTAAGTTATAAGAACAAATAAGTGTATTACAAACTCTCTAAATGCAATGACAATAATAAACTTGTTCGCTTACATTAATCACTTGTCGAGTTCGTGTATGTAATGCGACGGTTATGGATGACAGAACAATAGTGTTAGGGCAAAGCTAGAGACAAATAGACCAAGACGATTATGTTGGTAATGTGAGGTCACTAACTACTTGGTAATAGTTGTGCTGTAAAATGAAGACTTAGTGGTCCACGTCTAAAGATTCCAGGTGATAATTGGTCGTTGTGACACAAAAGTAATTATTCTTTATCTTCCTCTAGTTTTCCTCTTCTACAGTTTTTTTAGTTCTCCCATATTGTTGAGACTATTATTTTTAAAAACATCGTCCCACCAAGAAAACTGAATCTAATTCAACTTTGGGAGGGTAAAGGTCGTACAGAGTCACGTTAAACATGTGACTATGTGATTAAAAAAACATGCCTAAATATAAACCACAAAGTGCGATCTAACCTTAACAGAATTTGTAATTCAATATTTGTATTCCATATAGGTTTTTATGATCGCTAGGGTACATGTGGTACGGAGCATTTACACTGGCTAGAAATGAATTTAAAGAACATTTATTGGATATTGTACAGCAAATACAAAAGCCAGTAAGTTGGAGATATATATTTCCACTATTGAACTTGTCACAAAAAAGGACCGCTATCACTAAGCGGAGTAGCATTCCAAGTTCACAGAGTTCTTACAATACTTCAACCTTGGTAACAAAATTCAACTTGATTTGAATTGTCATGAAAAAAACCTGGCTGGATAACTATTGTAGTGAAGTGTGGTTAGTTATGTACTCTAGTGTAGCATGAAGTAGACATAGAAATTAGTTAAGTGCAGTTGAAACGTGACTAACAACTAGGCTTCATTGCATAGTTTGTAGAGCACCTGACAGGTAAGTGAAGGACCACTGGTTACAATGCTATCCAGACCCTGATGTTTGGATTTACAGAATTATCCTTATTAGCAAAACTCAGCTTGGCAATCAAAGTTATCTCAGATAGTCTAATCCATAAGATATAAACATAGCACTATTTAAAGATAAGAAATGACGAATAATAACCCAATAAAAAATGTTCATCAATATTTTACTCAGTTTTGTAGAATTTAAATAGGGAATGGGAAGAGGGAGTACTAAAAAATTAAAACTTACAATTTACGGTTCTCAGTTAAAAAGTGACTCTTGAAAATAATGAACTAGTCTAGTTCAGAAACAGAAGGAACGAAGGGAAGTATCTAATAACAATAAACAGATTTCAACTGAAAAGACACCAGTCAGTTTACCCGCTTTCCATCACAAGCAAATCATTTGGTGTTTATGTTTGCAGGTAGATTGACCTCATGATACCTACACAGTAAGCTCCACTTGTCTCTCTTTGTTAATGGACAAACTTGTTTGTGGTGTGGACAGTAACTATGTTCCAATAATAAGCGGAGCAATGTCTTAGTGAGTAAAGGATTCAACCTTAAACCAATGAGTTGCAGTTTCTAACACCTCCCCAGTTTGGACATTGAATTAATGCCACAATACGCCTACACAAACCTATAATACGTAAGAGTCAACATACAATTCTAGTAATTTTCTTTTCAATAATGACTTAGATTACGTTATTGGAATCATAACTTCCGGATAAACAAACATGAATGAAAAGATTATTTTATATAGGTTAAATGGAATAAGCATATCAGTTACTGCATAGAATTTAAGACTACTGGGGATGATTATGAAAACCGAATCAATAAAAAATAATACAGAAATGAGACGTACATCGTCATAATCATAAAAATCTTTTTTTTTATTGCACTAATATGAAGTGAATCACATACTTCCAAGTAGATTAAATGTGAGAAATAAAGAAATTACATTGTAATTTTGTAAATGAAGAGTAAATTGGAAAACAAGTTACATAAAATTTACGAGCAATAATAGTTTTCAAAACCTACTAAAATGCACCTTCGCAAACGAATAATGACTAACAATATAGCTTTAATATCGTTTGCTTGCTAACCAAACACCAATATCATGTGTAAATAAAGCTTATTATTATTTATTTATTTGAACACAAAGATATTGGTGCAAGGGGGCACCAAATACATTTGCGCTGCACAAATCTCGTTTGATTTGTGTGAGGGCTGTGATACTGCTCGGGTGCCCAAATCGGAACAGGTGGTTTTCTTAGGGGGCCACACCCCGAGCCTTCGACCTGAAGGTCTGATCCACAAAGCAGTGAAGCAACGTGAGGAGATGCAGTCCCATGATAGACGGTGACCAATAATTGGTTCATATGCCATTTGTTCCTTCAGGATACTGGAGCCCATGTACACCATTGCTTTGGAATTAGGGTTTTCCAACTCGGTTAAAGAGCCGGACATTCGCTTTTCGTCCACTCAATTTCGTAAACGACGCCTCCGCCACGAGAAGGCAGTGAGTGGGACTTCACTGTCAGTGGCCGTATACGCGTGGTCGTGTGAGAGCATTTCGAGAGGGAGAGCGGACTTTTCCCACCCTCGACAGTACTAAAGCACTAGGGGCCAAGCAGAGTGCTCCAACACAATCTTGCACTGAACGTGTTTTAATCCAATCCATATTCCGTTAACACGTGCGTGTGTTGGGATGATCCTCTAGCTCCCGAACAGTAGATGGGTTTTTTAAGAGTCCACTCCTTTAGTCTTCAATCCACAAGGTGGCAGCGCAATGTGTCACGGTAACCAATGACCGAAATAGACAAGCATTTCGTTTTTTGTCTCAGGATCGTCGAGTTCATGTATCCTATTGCTTTGGAGTCAGGATTTTCCTACTGTCCTGGTTGAACCGTCCGTATAAACTAACCCAGTTTAAGCTCTAAATGTTCGCTGTTAGACCTCTCACTTCCATAAAAACATCTAAATGTGAAGGCTGTAATACTTTTCTAACAAGGGACATAAGCGTGTAATCTTGTGAAAGCGTTTCGAAAGAAAGCAGAGTTTCCCTATTCCCGGTAGTACTACACAATTCAGGTGAGGTGGTTACTTTGTCACAAGGAACCGAAGTTTTGGTTAGATTTTGTCGAATAATTTGGGTTAACGGATGAAGGGACATAATATCCGCTGGTTAGCAAACGTTATTACTATTAGAAAAATAACTGTGGCTGTCTACGAGGAAAAAATTAAGATATTCAGATGCATTAAAGCCAATATAGAGTATTACATAAATTCAGTTTTACCCACAGAGTTCCAAGAGTAATAGCTACGAAAGTTTTTGGAAAAACAGCGAATTACAGTGACTATAATTTTGACCCGATTCCGAAAAGGCATTCCACTAGCTTGTCACGTTTTCTTACGACAATAACACATAACTCACTCCTCTTAACATAAAAGACAGGACGCACATATCAAATCCCCAAACCTTTAATCAGAACACTAGAAAGTAGATGAGCGATCACAAGTACTTTTATTATTTTGATCTATAACTGATGATCATACAGATACAAAACGAGATGACATTGCATTACAATATGCACCCAGCCGGAATAGTTTACTAAAAACCTATGTAATACATTTACAGTTTATTACGCGTAGATATATGAAAGTAAAATATATATCGATAATTAGCCAGTTAAAACGTCTACTGGTAAGATCATATGGAAATACAACAAACCAACTGTTTGATTAATACTTCTCGAGATTTAAGCACATTTATCATAAAAAAATTGTTCAAGTATCATGTTATCCTTTTTTTCCTTTTAAAAGTTCGAAATCATCACCTTGGTTTGTGAAAAAACTAAAAGATTTAAATTGTAGAAAAGACATTATCCATGATAGTTGGGACTTCATTTGACAATTTTATGGATCTGACTATGACACATGGAGACCCGCGAAAACCAACACATCAAAAAACGTCACTGAAATAGGTCTGCATATTTAGGTCTCTTTTGGATGGTCTAGGGAAATTATACATTATCTACTTTCACCAGCTAGTCCTAAGTTTAGATTCTTTTCACCTTCCTTTAGCACAAACACCAGTCCCCGCAGTCTAAATAATAAAGAGCCTCAATGTTTTATATTAATGGATATGACGTGCTGACTTGTCGGTCACAAAAGCATACTGCATATGAGTTTATTTAATAGTGTTTCACTTTAAACTACCACAATGATTTGTGAACTGCAACAAATTTACGCGAAAACTAGGGCATTTATTACCCCTGAATTAAAAGCGAATAGGTATTCTGTTTTTAGTAAATGTCGAGGACCCGGTCTTCCTTAAACGAACTATATATTCCATTAAATGTCTATAATTTATCAGTTTTGAGAACTTAAACCAAAATTTATAATTTATCTTAGGTCACCCTAATGCATTTCTTCTGAAAACATTACTATCAAAACGAAAAAAACACTGTGCATAAAAGCACATATATTTTTGAGTTTATTTGTCCTCCGTTATCAGCGATTCTAAAATAATTCATCGTTTAAGTTCAGACAAAAAAGAAGTTGGGCATAAGGTGAATAACTTTTAATAGAAAAAAAGTATTGCGAAAAACGCTGAATAGAAAACATCATTTAAATTCTTTTCATCTTCCTTTAGCACAAACACCAGCTCCCGCAGTCTAAATAATAAAGGGCCCAAAGATGAAGCTGAAATGTGTTTAACATCTAAATAAACAATATGACAATTCAAGTATTTTTCATTCCTGATATTTCTCTTACATACAGTGTAATAGCGACGAATCATAATAAATAAGAGGCTTGATGATATATTCATTTGAATTTTATGTAATAGATGAGCTGAAACTCGCTCAACCTGTTTCGATTTGATAGCCAAGATAAACACAAATCCAAGCTGGAAGCCGTTTACAGTTTATCACATCTACCTTATTAGGCAGTGAGGTTTCAAGCAGCCAAAAGTTCCGTTAGAGGAAAGAACTAGTGATGAGAAGGAATTACGGGAGAATTGTTTGGGAGGTTATATATATATATATATATATATATATATATATATATATATATATATATATATATATATATCAAGTGAAACGCTTACCGAATAAATGGGATCACCAGATAGAAGTTGTTCGGTCTTGAATTCAATTTTTCCATAGTAACGATATCTTGGATATGTGTTGGCAAATCAGCAATCCCAAACCAAGTTATAGCCTCAATCTCATTTTTTGTACCAGGCTTCAATCGAGAAGTCCTGGGAAGTCCTTCAACAATGAATGCTCGTCTTAAAGTTCCACCAATGTAACGATCAATATAGAGAGACGGTACGATACGATTTGCTAAGTCCAGACCCGTTTCTTCCATTACCTATGGAAAAATATCTAAAAATTTATGCCACTCACTTCACGAGAAGCACAATCAACAAGGGATTCATCTTGATTAATTTTGCCACCAGGTAGGCTCCAACGATTACCATAGAATCCTTGGACTAACAAGATCTAGGAATTAAATCAATAAAAGGCTTTCTTACCATCTTGTAATGTTCGTCAATAATTATCATGCTCCCAGTAGCTGTAGATCCACGATATTTCTTCCATTCGACAAACTTTTCTTGCCAGTTTATACCCCTGGGGACAATAGAAGGAAACTTCCCAAATACTAATAGATTATGTATTATGAAGCTGAAAAGCTACATTGTTGCGTTAGTCCGAACATATCAACACCACCAACTGAAGGATCTTCAATACAGTAATCGACATAAAACCAATGAGCCCGCTCAACTTCAAAAAAGATTCGCACGAAATTCTTTGCGCAATCTTCTTTCAACTTATCGGGAATATTAAGGAGAAATCGCCTACAGGGTCGAAAACGAGACAGTAAGAGGGTACTTACGTGTACAAATGTAATAAAATGTTATCTGGCACAATATGTAAAGGTTCCTGGGCCATCATTGGTTTATATCTAGGGGAGCAATACCAAAAAAGGTCAGAATCTTTCAATGATAAAAATAAATTTTAATACGTCTACTTTCCATTCACCTGATCACACTGTTACACCTCAACTATTCAGCTGTCCCACAAACGCAAGGTATTAAAGGATGACATAAAGTCAAATCATTGAAATTTTTACAATATATTACGGTTAGTGAGATAGTGACTTTAACTGCTCTATAGGCAGAGCAAAATAATAAAAAACAAGCTGTTCACTAACTTAGTATCACACAGCATACCGCAGTTACAGTAGATAAGTAGTGGTATGTTGTAATTATACAGTAATAAAACAAATTTGCGTTAAGCTAATAAATTGCTTTTCGAAAAAATGACGTGTTTAAAAAAACCGAATTTTCAACCACTCAAGTAAGAAGGCAATAATAGATATAATATTTCCATAGTCCTCTTTATAAACTGATAAATTGCTGCTATGATATTAAAATCTATTATTCGGTGAGACTGTAATTTATGGACGAACTAGCTAGATATAAGACAACGAGTCTTGAATTTTGGCGAGCAATTCATTTATACATTTGGTTAAATAGCGTTTCGGTGTCATAGCTGATATCAGTTCGTGATGCGAACCCTATATCTAATTCCTAACCCTTTAGCGTCGCTCAAAGGTCTTACATAAATTATGGTCTCACCCAAAAATTTTGTAGAATAAGGCAGTTGTTTCAGATTTGTGTATTAAGGAAAGAAGGCCTACGGCTTGTGTTATTCTTTTTCTAGTATGCTTCTGTGAGTGTCCCGTCTTCTCTTGAAAGAGTCAATTGAAGTTGCGGAAACCACCACTTCGGGTAGCAGGTCCCAAGTATTGATGACTCGGTTAGAAAACCTGTATGCCACGAGTATCTCGTTTGTTCTTGGCTTTTTTACTCGCCTGCTATGTCCTCTGAGATGTCCCGATCAAGTGGGAAGAAAAAGAAAATAAGTTAGGTCCATAATCATTTCTCAGTATTCTGTACATCAAAATTAGATCTAACCTTAGTCTGCGACAGGACCGAGTAAAGAGGACCAGTTTTTCAAGTCGCTCTTTGTATGTTAAACCCCGGAGTTCTGGAACTGCATGGGTAGCTGCCCTCTGTACTTCTTCTAGGATATCCGAGTCACCTTTCAAACAAGGGCTTGCAGCCCGGACGCAGTTCTAAAGCTTAGTTCTCACTAAAGTTGTGTATACTGTTGTGAACATAGGAGTATCTAACTTAGTGAATGTCCAGAGTGTTCTAAACCCCTTAGCTGCGACCTCCAGGCAATGGGCCGTCGTCTTAAGATCATGACTCACTGTCACCCCTAGATCCTTATGAGACCGGATCACAGGTACTGGTACTTCCCCTATGTTGTACCTATTAACCTTTGTATCCCCAAAGTAATTGTAGACACACTTTGCCACGTTGATAGACATCAGCCACTTTTCAGACCAGTTAATCATATTATTTAAGTCTGCCTGAAGAGAGAATGCGTCTGCGTCTCGTTATTACTCGCTAGATTTCCACATCGTCGGCGTATAATAACATTGGGGAATGTACTAAACTTGGGAGATCATTTACTTACTTACTTTCGCCTGTTACTCCTCGTGAAGAAGCATAGGCCGCTTACCAGCATTCTCCATCCAACCCTGTCCTGTGCAATCCTTTCCAGCTCTTATTCATCCCTTTCATATCCGCTTCTATTTCCCGACGTAATGTGTTCTTTGGCCTTCCTCTTCCCTTCAGGATTCCAAGTTAGCGCTTGTCTCGTAATGCATTTTGATGATTTCCTCAATGTTTGTCCTATCCATTTCAATCGTCTTTTCCTAATTTCCTCTTCCGCTGGAAGCTGGTTGGTTCTCTCCCACAAAAGGCTGTTGCTGATGGTATCCGGCCAATGGATGTTGAGTATCTTGCGTAGACAGCTATTGATAAATACTTGTACCTTCTTGATGATGGTTGTTGTAGTTCTCCAAGTTTCAGCTCCGTACAGTAGAACTGCCATGACGTTGGTATTGAAGATTCTGACTTTGATGTTGGTTGAAAGTTGTTTTGAGTTCCATATGTTCTTTAATTGAAGGAATGCTGTCCTTGCTTTGCCAATCCTAGCCTGCATCTGAACCTCCTTGTTTATCGACGATGCTTCCCAGGTATGTGAAGGATTCTACATCTTCCAGAGTTTCGCCATCAAAAGTGATTGGACTGCTGTTTTCCGTGTTGTGTTTGAGGACCTTGGTTTTCCCTCTGTGTATTTTGAGACCTACTGATGCAGAGACTGCTGCTATGCTGGCTGTCTTTGTCTGCATTTGTTCGTGTGTATGAGATAGGAGGGCTAGGTCATCTGCGAAGTCTAAATCGTCTAATTGGTTCTGAGCTGTCCATTGTATTCCGTGTTTTCCCTCAGATGTCGAGGTCTTCATAATCCAGTCGACCACCAGAAGAAAGAGGAAGGGAGAGAGTAGACAACCTTGTCTTACTCCGGTCCTCACTTGGAATGCATCTGTCAGCTGTCCTCCATGCACTACTTTGCACTGTAGTAAGTCGTATGAGTTCCGAATAATGTTGACAATCTTCTCAGGAACTCCATAGTGTCGAAGAATTTTCCATAACGTCCTCCTATCTACACTGTCAAATGCCTTTTCATAATCAATGAAGTTGATGTACAATGACGAGTTCCATTCTATTGATTGTTCGACGATGATCCGTAGTGTCGCAATTCGGTCTGTGCACGACTGGTCCTTACGGAATCCAGTTTGTTGATCTCGAAGTTGAGCGTCTACTGCGTCTTTCATCCTGTTTAGTAACACTCTGTTAAAGACTTTTCCTGGTATTGACAGTAGTGTAATGCCTCTATAGTTCTCACACTTGCTCAGGTCTCCTTTCTTTGGAATGTTGATGAGGTGTCCTTCCTTCCAGTCCATCGGCACTTGTTCCTCCTCCCAAATCTTCTTGAATAGAAGATGAAGCATTTTTGTCGTTACTTCGATGTCTGACTTCAGTGCTTCAGCTGGTATATTGTTGGGTCCTGCTGCTTTCCCGCTTTTGATTTATCTGATGGCCATTCTGACTTCTTCCGTCGTTGGTGGATTGACATCTATAGGGAGATCTGTGTGTGCTGCTTCGATGTCCGGTGGATTCATTGGTGCCCGCCTATTCAGGAGTTCCTCGAAGTACTCTGCCCATCTGTTCCGCTGTTGTTGAATTTCAGTGATTGGCCTGCCTTCTTTGTCTTTGACTGGTCTCTCTGGTTTACTATATTTCCCTGTTAGTTTCTTCGTTGTATCATAAAGCTGTTTCATATTTCCTTCTCTTGCAGCTTTCTTCGCCGTCGTTGCTAGTTCTTCCACATATTTGTGCTTGTCGGCTCTAATGCTCTTCTTCACTTGCTTGTTTGCTTCTATGTACTCAGCTTGTGCTTGGACTTTCTCTGCTCGTGTTCAACTGTTGTTAATTGCTATCTTCTTGTTCTTCCTTTCTTTGATCCGGTCCAGTGTTTCTATAGAAATCCATTCCTTGTGATGATGTTTCTTGGGGCCCAGAACCTTTTCACACGTTGAAGTTAATGCTTCTTTAATACCTTTCGAGTTATCTTCCATAGTAGTTTCTTCTTCCTTCAGTAGATCCTGTAAGGCTTGGAACCTGTTGTTGAGAGCTACCTTGAATTCATTGAGTTTGTCAGTATCTCGAAGGAAGGCTGTATTGAACCTTTGCAGAGCTGTTTGTTCAGTTCTTCCTTAGCTTCAGTTTTAAATTGGCCACAACCAGGTGATGATCTGAAGCTATGTCCGCTCCTCTCCTGGTTCTCACATCTTCCATTGTCGTTCGGAACTTTTTATTGATGCAAATATGATCATTGTGGTTCTCTGTGGAGTGGTCCGGCGAGATCCATGTAGCTTTGTGTACACGTTTGCGTGGAAATATTGTGCCGCCTATGACCAATTTGTTGAACGCACACAGATTTACAAATCTTTCCCCGTTTTCGTTCCTCTCTCCCAGTCCATGCAGTCCCATGATATCTTCATATCCGGTGTTGTCTATTCCGACTTTGGCGTTTAGATCTCCCATCAGAATGATAAGTCTTTTCTTGAGCACTTCTCTATGATTGATTACAGCCTCTCATAGAACTGATCTTTATTGTCGTCGTTACTATCATTGGTGGGTGCATAACTTTGGATAACATTCATTGTGATCCCCTCCTTCTTTGTTTTGCATGATGCTTTGATAATTCTGGATCTGTGAGATTCCCATCCTACAAAAGCATTTTGTGCTACTTTGGACAGCATTAGAGCCACTCCCTGAGTGTGTGGAGCATTTTCCTCTTCGTGACCGGATTATAACAGCATCTCTCCCGTATTTAGCCTTTGTTGTCCAGCTTGGGTCCAATGGGTTTCGCTGATTCCCAGTACTACCAAGTTGTATCTCCTCGTTTCCGTTGCTATTTGAATGGCCTTCCCGATCTCCCACATTGTCCGGACGTTCCATGTACCTATAAAAATTTTTGCTCTGGTTGTTAGAAGGGGCATTGGCCTCACGGCTTCCGAAGGAACTCGGCTTTCATCCTGAGGCGTCATATTTCTTCTAAATGAAGACCTTCTAACTCCCAGGTCAGAGTTTAAATGGTTTGAGTTATTTTTTCTGGTTAGCGTTTTTTAGCGAGTTAGTTTTCTATGGGATGGGGACGCTAACTCTATGCCCAACCCTCCTACTTTATCCGGGCTTGGGACCGGCAGTAACTCTAGGAGAGCTACATGAGGAGTTGGATTATTTACATACAGTATAAAAAGTAAAGGACCTAGGACGGAACTTTGAGGTAATCCACTAAGTACTGGTCTCCAGAAGGAGCACTTGGAATTTATTCTTACTTTATGTCTGCGACCTACTAAGAAATCCCTAAGCCATTTTAAAAGAAGTCCGGCAATACCAAGATTTTCTAACTTCAATAGCAGTCTATTAGTTGGCACCTTATAAAAGCCTTACTGAAGTCTATGTAGATAACATCCACTGAGTTGTCAAGCACCTTTATCCAAAACTCCCTTGCTATAAAGAGGTTTGTTGTACAAGATAAACCACTTAAACTCGTTTAGTCGAAAATCAACACATAGATTCAAACGAGTATACTTACTAACAAATCACTTGTCTTGTTAAACACTTAGATACTGAGGAGAAAGTTGCTTATGAGTCAAACAGTAGGAAAGTTTCTGTATGCAACTGGTTTCCCTTGGACTATACCAAGGGGGCCGAGAAACTCCCCACCATGGTTCAGTAGGGAGGTCCGCATCCTTCTCCGTAAGAGAAAAATGCGGGATAGATTTAGGTTACTGGGGACTGATAAGACAAAATCTCAGTATCGAAAAGCTAGGAATACCTGTGTCTCAACCCTCCGTAAGTCTAGAAAGCTGTACGAATCCATAGAATGTCCTAAACGCTTGTATTCTTATATAAACCGAAGGACAAAAAGAAGAGGAAATATTCCTGCACTACGGAGAGACAGTACTGCCGCATCATTAGTGGAAGATGACTTTGTTAAGGCTCAATTGTTCTCAAACTACCTTAGCAATGTATTTGCCATAGAAGCACCCTTCCCGTCAGCGCATACTAAGCCCCACACACACACATACACTGGATAGCGTGACCATTAAAGAACTCGATGTCTTTGGTCTGCTAAATAAGCTTGACATAGGTAAATCCACGGGGCCCGATGAATTGCGTCCTAGACTACTAAAGGAATTATCTAACTTCGTTGCGAACCCTCTAAGTATATGCTTTAAGCTATCCGTAACGCAGGGTCGTTTACCAAAAGACTGGAAAAACGCCATAGTAAGTCCTGTCTTCAAAACAGGTACGAAACATAAACCTGAGAATTACCGACCCGTTAGCCTAACTAGTCTGGTTGTTATAATCTTAGAAAAGATTATTCGGAAGGAGTTGTTTAAGTACCTCAATGTAAACCGGATCCTTTCGGAAAAGCAGCACGGTTTTAGAATAGGTTATTCTTGTCTCACTAACTTATTAGTCGCTCGTGAAAGCTGGTGCGCTCCTAAAGACCAAAAGTTACCTGTAGACGTAGCCTACATCGATTTCAGCAAAGCTTTTGACAAAATTCCGCACAACCGGCTGTTACATAAGCTAAAAAATGTCGGAATCGGAGGCAATCTATTGATGTGGATAGAAGACTTCCTAGTTGGGCGCCAACAAAGAGTACGGGTAAACTCAAAGTTATCTAACTGGGAAATTATGCTTAGTGGAGTGCCCTAGGGTACAGTTTTGGGGCCAGTGCTATTCCTATTGTACGTAAATGACCTTCCTCGTCTATTATCATCATCGGTCTTGCTATATGATGACTATGTCAAGATATGGAGAACGATACGATGTAAGGGTGATAGCTTAGAAGTCCGAAATGACCTGAAGAAACTATCTGAATGGTCTCATACCTGGCAGCTGTCGATAAATACTCCCAAGTGTGTTGTGATGCATATCGGTCATCAAGGTACAGATACATACACGATGAATAACACTGAGCTACCTGTTGTCCAGACACATAATGACTTAGGAGTCATTGTTAACCAAGATCTAAAGACTACTGCACACTGCCGTGCAATATCCGTCAAAGCTTTTAGAACTTTATGGTCAATACGTAGGGCTTTTACTCATATCGACGCTTAAACGTTTTTGACTTTGTATACAGTGTTCGTACGTCCTAAACTATAGTACTGCATACAAGCGGCTAGCCCCTGCTTAAAAAAAGACTGAGCTTTTGGAAAAGATCCAGAGAACAGCAACTAAGACGATCTCCGGAAAAGCGAAGCTTCCGTATGATGCTCGACTGGCCAAGCTAAACATATACCCTTTGTCATATCGTAGAACTAGAGGCGACTTGATTACAGTTTTCAAATTGTTTAGTGACAAATTTGCACCTGATATGCCCTCATTTTTCTTGTCTTCCAAAACAGAGAATTTACGAGGGCATTCCAAAAAAGTTCACAAGCCCAGAACAAATTACTTGTCAGCTGATTATCGACTTTCCCACCGAATCATCAACGAGTGGAATTCATTACCTCAGCACGTGGTTGAAGCTCCATCCGTAGATTCTTCCAAAAGAAAGTTGGATCAACTGAGAGAACACCATTGGCAGGACTAACACAGGCCATCAAGCCTCCTGTCCTTCCCAACCTGAAACTGAAACTTCTTTGCAATTATTGAACCAAGACAAAGTAATTCTCGAATTATGTCTGTAACAGGTTTGTAAACCAATCTTATCAACGATACATTGTATTAGCCAGGTAGTATTCAACTTCTCAATCTCCCAAAGTCTTAGAACATTGAAGATCTAGAGGGAAACAGGTGAACTGACGTACGAACCAATATGTTTCCGCCTCGTAATTTATTGAGAGAATGGTAACATGTGATTCTAGCATTGTAGCTTGTGTAACTAAGAGATAAAAATCTTGGTGAATCATCTAGAATCTGCATAAGTAAAGTAATTGAACAACCTTGAACTAATTTTCCGTCAGCCAAAAAAAACAATATTTGATTGTGAGGCGCTAAAATATTAACAAGTAAAACGGTGAAAACTAATAAACGAGTTAACATGTGTCTTGGGAATTTATGCACGAAACAACAAGACTTTCACTCCCAACTAACACTACAAATCAGGAATGAATTAGGCGCTGAAACCTGGTCCCAGTTTTCAATATATCTTGCATCTTTATGACGAACTTTTACAAACAAACTGATTTATTTGATTGCTTCATCCATACACTTAACGTTTGACATTTAAGTGATAATTAAGTCTTAGTGAAACAATCGTATCGCTTTATAACCAAACACTTCGCCAAGAAATTAGTTCAAGCGCTCCCATATAATTCATTGTAACCTATTGAGGTAGAGGTCACTTTGAGGAAGCACAGCATCTTCCACAGAATTTGTAGGAGTTTTGGGCAGGTATCTAGAATTCCTAATGTGATCAAAAACACTTCTTCTTTGCTTCAGAGACCCTTAGGATATGCCCCCACAGTGGACAGCTTGAAAGTATAGGCCATTAGATAAACTAATGTCCTTAACTATTATAATCCATTTGAATACACAACAATTTTTTTAACGAGCCCGTGTACACCAAATGACCTCTTCACTGTAGTTTTTTCTCGTTTCCATACGATTCCCGGTCCTCGGTAACGTCGAGTGATAGTCTATTCGAGTAAAATAATTCTAGTCAGTCGTCTAATTATTTGGTATTTTGTGTAACTTAAGATTTAAGTACACTTGTCTTCAGGCAGAAGAGTTTCCGTAACTAGCAGCTATCACATTACCGAGGGGATTAGAACCGTTTGGTGACGGCTCAGTATATTAAAGGTTAAACGTTCGCGCGTGCCGCCTAATTTCCTGTGTTCTGGCTCCGCGTGCAGGAACACGTACATACAATGTTGAAGAATCATACTCGTGGACAAAACCGCCGTCCAGTACATCCAGGTTTTTGACAGTGATCTAGCTTTTATCGGTTCATGATTCCAATCATGTAGTGTTATTATTCTCAATAAACCCAACACATCCTATGAGTCTTCACCTCAATCTACTACACTTCTCTTCACGTTTCTTCACTCTCAACTCCGTACACTTCATACCGCACTATATTCTCAAAACTATTGCTGGTTGAAAGTCGAATTACACTCAATTTCATTTATGATTTCGGAATAAATACTGACTGTACACTATTTTTGTTCAGAATTATGTTTCGTTGTACAATGTCTCGTTTATTTTTTATGTTGCCCAACTATTCAGTGATCACATGCCTGGCCTGGTCACTTTATAGAAGCTGATATCATGCAGGTGAGTTTGCGTTCTGGAGGTTTATCCCGGCCGTTTTATTGGTCGAATCGATCTAAAGGTAGTAGCTTTTTAAGGAAAAGAATGTTCAAACAGAATGATGTAATAGGAGGATCAGTAGCTCCCGGAGAGACTTCAGATGTTAACAGGCTGTTGTTATGTGATATTTGTGTGAACTAATGATTCCTATGTACTCGGTGTCTGCCTGATTTTGAATTCCCAATACAATACGTTCGTTTGTGCTCACTTAGTTCTACCTGACTCAGAATGCTCTATTTCGGGGATTCCTGGTTAGTGCAATAATTCAAATACTTTAAATCATCACATGGGCGTCTCAATCCAGCCTGTGATGGAAGAGTTGAATAAACATTCAAATTTTGATGCTTTCGAGGATTATATGGAAGGGTTCAAAATCTGGACTATGATTAAGGAAGATGTTGAGGATCTTAATATTGTGAGTCATTTCCTTTTATTCATCACAAAAGAAGCCTACAGCTTATTAAACATTTTGTCATTTCCATATAAACCGAATTCATTTTCTTCCACAAACCTCAAGCAGCTAAAACTAAACCATGTAAAATGTACAAATTTCGAATGCCGTGAAGGAGGAAAACTTCGTAAAATTATTCATCAGGGCGTCCAGAATTCCACTAAATTACTACGTCATCCCAATCCAATGAGTACTCAAGGTTATGCAGATGACAATTTATTGAGGAGTTGCGAAGTATGTCACAAAAATTAGCACACATGTGGTAAATGTTTGTACTGTGGCAAATTTCACCCAATATATTATAATGTATTTCTGTAAGGGAAGGTACACTCCATTGTTATAGACATGATCTACAAACTACAATATTTGTTGGTTCACAGTATGCATGTTATATAAATATAGTCTATAAAAGTGATTACCAGTTCATTCCTTCAGACATACTGAGTAATCTTCAAAATATTCTCCAAAGTGGTATCGCGTCCACGTTACACTCCAGATCCAATCTCCACATTATTGTGCTAGGATTTTGGTCGTGCTAAGTGTTCATGCAATGCGACTTTTTCAGTTTATAGTTGTTATAAAGTAGACTTGTACAGCGCTTGGTGTGAACTATGTCCTTGGGAAAACACGTACGTCTAGTTTGTTCCGGACGTCAGAAGTTCCATAGCTGTGTCCTCAAAGCAAGATTCTGAAAAAAGAGAAACCGAGGAGCAGCAAGACACTTGGATATGAACGATAAACAATACTTAACATTTTGTAGTGGAACTGATAGAGTTATGATAACTTATTAGGTTAAGTTCATACTAACTCCAGTTTCTAGAGTAAAATGTGATCAGAGGCTCCAGACGAGAGAATGCAGCAATAAAGAACAATGAGTTGTGATACTTACCGAGGTGGAGTAAGTTCAAACTAGGAAAGATAAGTCAAAGCGAGAATAAGAAAGTTTGTTTATTAGAACGGAAAGTGCATATAGAGGGTAAAATGTTAAGAAAACCAATAACCATATGTTTTATTGTCTGATTCTTTATTTTTCGCATCCAATGCCAGCCACACAGTCCTAGTGTAAAAGTCCGAGTCAGCATGTTGATATTAAAAACTGAACTCTTTTAAAATTTTCAAATAACTTTAGGTTGACCTTTTTTGGTTTTCATGACCAGCGTCTAATCTTAGGCGGTTGCAATATATGACACATATGGGACAATAACGATAAGTAGTCCTGGGTTGGCTTGGTAATGTGTAACAAACCACTCTGTGTAATATATGACAATAACTTATTAAAGCATTCCTTAACCCTGGTGAATCACGTCTAAGAGTAAGGTGTACGACTGAAAGGAGTGGTGTGGGCCGAATAAGGTTAACGGTGAAAGGGAGTTATTTTATGTTCTCGCACATCTACTGTTAATTTTTCGGAGCATATTCCTTCTCTTTTACTCAGATGGTGTAAGATGTCGATCTTAAAGTCAGGGTTGGGATAAGAAAGTTTGTTTATCAGAACGGAAAGTGCATATAGAGAGTAAAATGTTAAGAAAACTAACAACCATGTCTTTTATTGTCTGATTTTTTTATCCGATGCCTGCTACACAGTCCTAATGTAAAAGTCTGTGTTAACATGTTATAGGTTGTCTTAGTAGAATAGCTGATCCAGCATAAAATTGGAAACATGAGTCTAAATGATGAGTGTCAGAGAATAAAAATTCAATATCATAGATTGATTGACTTGTTCTCAAATATGAAGAGCCAGATACGAACAAAATGTAACTCATGCGTGTTTCGTAATGCTAAGTGGTTTAATTGTAGTAAGATTGGACACAATCAGTCAGTTTGTAATACTACTGTCCACTTTGCTGCAAGTAATGGCAAATTTTGTAACTCCGACCCTATTAAGTTGGATGCTTCAAATAAATCGTACTCGGATCAGACTCATAATATTGTTTTACTAGATATGCGTTGTTCTCATGATTTGCGTACCTCTAATGAAATTATTTACAAATGTATGGAAGATATATCGGGTGCTTTTAATCCTGATCGGAACTCTGATGTGACTTTATTAGATGTAGTTTGTTCTCACGATTCATTTACTTATTATGAGATCTTAATTATATGTGAATTTTAGGTTCTAAATAAGTCAAAATGTGGTTTAAGTTCTTATGATTACGCATCGGATGTTATTTATTCTCATAACGAGTCGAATCGCAGTCACATTTCTGATTTTATTGTGTCAGGAGTTGAATATTCTCACGACCGATGTATGACGAGTAGAATCCATAATCACTGGTATGATTTAGAGTGGATGGCAGGTTTACCCGAAGCATTCAGAGGACCAGTTTGTTCAGATATGACATAGTGTAAAAAACTTTAAATGGAGTCCAAGGTTATCTCATTGAGTATGAGGCAGATGCATATTTTGTATTTGATGGTTTTGCAAGTGAGTCAAGCCTATGTGAATCACATGTGTTAATTGCACAAATCAATGCATAATTATTTGATAACTGGAACAATGACTTTGCATGTTCTTATGTGAAAAGCAAAAGGAATTTGTATCATGTTTTTTATGTAAGTCAAAGCGACATGATGGAATGCCTCAAATTATATGTCAGATTATATTCTCAAATACTCACACATAACAGTCAAATTGTGAGATACGAAAAAAACAATGCGAATTGGAAACGTCAAATCGGTCATAACATTGAGGCATAAGGACCGTACATTATCTTGTGAGGGAGGATAATTTTGAAAATTTTGTGGTTCACATCCCGGATACCAGTGACTTCAATACACAACCGACATGTTTACCAAATACGATTCTAGGTGAATTCGTTCCAATTTCAGTAGCTAATTCTGATGCTACTGAGTATATTCTCGATCACACCGAGTCTGTATCCGATAAACAGTCTGACAGAAAAACAATGAGGTCTTTCAATCGATTACACGAACTGATATTCCAATTTAGGTTGTGTTGGTTATGACGTTTATATGGTTTAATGATTCTTTCATACTCGACGTCTGATTGATTTTGAATTCTAACCACAATACTTTCCAATGTGATCACCTAGTTCTTTTTGGTTTAAATTGCATCATTTCGGGAACTCCTTGTTCGTACAATAATTCAAATATTTCTAGTCATCACATATTATTCGACATTTCGTAAAATTTTGAAAACATCAAATTTTTTTATGGAACACGTACAACTAAGGAATGAGAAGTGCAAACACATTGTCACCGTGGCGGACTAGGCATCACTTGATCCGTTGAATGCAATATTGCTAGTTGCAACCGTATACTACACATTTGACTGTATAGACTCCTATAGCATAGATGTAGGCTCATCAAATAACTAGTTGATAGGGCTACTGGTAATTTGTATCCTTAACGTCCAC